TGACTGACTTTTGCCAGGGTGAACTGGTGTGGAGATGCTGAGCAAACAATAGGCCACCCTCTGGAGTGGAGACAGAAGAGCAGGCAATCAGCAACTGGCGACATGAATCTGTAGTGGAAGTCTGGGTACCCATAAAAGCAGGTGGACTTCAGAGCACACAGGTTTCATGAGGTAAAGTTGAGGAAAATGTGGGAAAGGAATGACTGTTCATTGTCTGGTCTTGCAGGGCAGGATGCTGTCTAAAATGAAGGGGCTTACCCAGAGAGTCCAGGAAAGCTATGAGGGACTCCCATTTACTGAGTCAAGAGGTCTGTGGAAAGGTTATCGCCAGGCTGCAGCTGCAAGGTCACACAGGGACTGAGTCTTGACCTACAGGTTGGGACTGCCTCTACAAGATGTCTTCACACCCACACCACAGAGCCTCTTTTAGGACCTGAAACTGCAGAAATAGGTCTTCTTTTGGTGCTCCTCTAGTGCCCTCTTCTGAGAAAGATTAACACTGAGCTTACTACAAGAGAAATGCTTACAGAGATTCTTTAAGTTTTTATTCATCTGTTTTATTTGTTTGAAAGGTAGAGAGACAGAGAGAGTGCCTATATGCTGATTCACTCCCCCAAATGCCTGCAATGGCTGTGGCTGGGCCAGGGCCAGAACTGGGAGCCAGGAATGCAATCTAGGTCTCCCACATAGGTGTTAGGAACTCAATCACCTGCACCATCATCTGCTACCCCCCTGCTAAGGTATGCATTAACAGTAACCTGAGATCAGGAGCCAGAACTGGATATCGAGCCCAGATGCTCGAGTATGGGCTACTGGCACTTCAACCATTAGGTCAAATGCCCACCCCAAAGTATTTGTTTTTTGTTTGTGTTTTTTGTTTTTAATATTTTATCCAGAGCTTTTATTAGTCACCTGTGAGAGTATGGGGTAGATCCAATACGAGTTTGGTCAGTCATCACTGGAAGCAGAACCCAGCACTCAATATTTTTAATTTTTTATAAAAACATTTATTTTATATGAAAGAGTTACAGAAAGACAAAGAGATTCCATCTTTTGGTCCACTCCCCAAATGGCTGCAACAGATGGACAGGGCTGAGCCCGATCAAAGCAGGAGACAGGAACTTCGTACAGGTTTTCCATGTGGGTGCAGGGGCCCAAACACTTGGGCCATCTTCTTCTGCTTTCCCAGGTTCACCAGCAGGGAACTGTATCTGAAGCAGTGCAGTTAGGACTTAAACTGGAGTCCATATCGATTGTAGGTGGTAGCTCAACCCGCTACACCACAATGCAGGCCCCTGGGTATTTTTTGATAAAATATAAATATAGCATGATTTATATACATACATAGATAAGATTTTTGAATAAATGGGATATTTTAATGGTTAAGTACAATGATGTCACAAAAAAACTTGAAAACTTATTAAGCACTTCAGAAAAAGCAGTTTTATAGCATGTAACTAGTTATGTGTAAGCATTTCCCTATTCTTCAGACATTATTATTCAAAGCTTAGTCTAACCTTGTCCTCCAAGTTTGAGTATAACTAATGCACTGTGAAGACATTCCTCATTTCTAGGGCTTATGTCTATGGCTTGAGATAGATAACCAGTTCTTTTTTTAATCTGTCTCCTGTGTGTTAAGCACAATTGTAGTGTGTTATGTATAATGCTTTTTATAATCCTCATAACTCTGTAAGGTAGTTATTATTACTCTTTGCTTTCAGATGGGGAAACTGAGACTCCAGTAGATGAAAGAGCTCCTCCCAGTTCACACATATGAACTGTGATTGTAATGGTGATCTATCTGGTAATACGAGCAGTGGCTATCATCTTTTGCTCACATTATAGTACTCAAGTCCATGAGATGTGCCTTCTATTCAATCACTGAGCTCTCTTTACTTAGAAAATCTTTAATTGTCAACTAATGAGTGGATAGCATTGTTAAACCTCCCCAGCTTTTCATAGCAGATAAATGCCTGCTTTATTTTCTTCCCCCTACTTCCAGGTCTCTCAGGCTTCATATCAAAATGGGAAAAAAGAGAAACAAAATTACAGAATAATTTGATGACATCACTCTGTGCCAAAGTCCAGAAATAGTCTTATTCTAATCAAAAGAACCTTGCACAGCCATTTCTCTAATTTGCAATAGACTTTGCTTGCTTCTTCCTACCATTGGCCTTAGAAAACAACATCATCTAATATAAAGAGTGAATACTGGATCACATGTTGCCTTGGGGAAATCACAAAGCCTTACTTATTTTCCTTATCTATACAGTAATATAATAACAGTTGTACATTTACCTCACAGGGTTAATCAAGAGGATCAATGGCTTATTGTATATGAAACCACTTGTAAACTGTAAATGTCTATTTAAAATCAAAAGATTACAAATCTGATCTGTAAAATGTTGGCCTTATGAACAAACACACACGGGAATCATAGCAATTTTCTGCTCTCTGACCTGATACTAAAATCTCTCTGCTACTTATAAAGTCTGTGGCAGATTTCACCTCTCTAAGTTTCAGTTGCCTTCCACATAAAATGAGCTTAATAACACCTTCTCTTTTGCATTGATGAAATATGTAAATTAAAGAACATTTGTGCAAATGCCTAACACAGCACTGGAAGTTTCTGGCACTGACAATGGGTGTTAAGATCTTGGTAAAAACTGTGCTTTCTCACCCTATTCTCCCTCTCAGCACTGCTCCTCAGATTCTGGGAGGAAGGACATTATATTATTTTCTCTGGTTCTCACAGGAACCTTGAGGAATAAATGAAAGATACAATATTTCATTTTATATATGAGAAAACTAAGAAAAATATTGGCTCTGGTTATGCCATGTAGTATCCATGATAAATGCTCTCTGATATCCAAGAAGAGCACCATTCGGTATCCATTTTGAAAAATGTCTTTTAGTAGTTAAAGCTGAGCATGCACATATCTTATCACCCAGAAATTCCATGCTTAAGATTATATCAAACAGAAATGAATACACAGAGTACTTCAAAAATTTTGTGGAAAATGCATATTATGAAGAAGATATGCATGGATCTCAAAAGTTTTTGCACCAAAGTAAACTTATCTTTTAATTCATATTTCCTATGAACTGTGTGAAGTACCCTCATACATCCACCAGGAGATGTGTAATGGAATGTTCATAGCAGCACAATTTTAAGAATTACAAACTGGAAACTACTCAAATGTCCACCAGCAGTAGAATGGATGAATAAATTGTGGTGGGGTCAAGCAATCAAATTCTCTACAGCACCAAGAATGAATAAACTGCTGCTAAGCAATGATGAATATCCTAAATATAATATTAAATGAAAGAAGTCAGATACAAAAGAGTACCAACCATTGGTAACAGAAGTCATGATGGTAGTTATCTTTGGATGGGGGAAGGGATGTGATAGAAAGGGGCATAAGGGAAGATTCTGGGGTTCTGGTAATTACCTATTTGTTGAGCTGAGTGCTAATAATATGAATGTGATCACATCATGAAAATTCATCAAACTTATGGTGCGTGTATTTTTCTGTAGGTATACTATACTTCATTTAAATAAAGTTAATTTGCCTTAGGTGAAATCCAGAAACCCATTATTTTAGCCAAGACTTTTCAGTGGCTTCCCATGGTCTCAGAATAAGATCCAAAGTCCTTACCATGGCCTTCATGTCTATATATGATCTACTCACTGGATACCTCCTGCACCTCATTTCTTTTGCCATTGTTACCCTCACTTACTTAGCTCCAGCCACACGGCCTTCTTGCTGTTTGGAAAACACAATGAAACTCCATTCAACCTAAAGACTTTGTAGCTGCTGTTCTCTCTACCAGGAATACTCCTCCCTCAGCTTGTCACATTGCAAGTTTCTTATCATACAGGTACCAGCCCAAAGTTACTTCTTCAAAAACCCCTTTGCTCAACATTCCATCTGAAACGGATTTCCCAATTGCTCTTAAGCATACAATGCGACCGTTTTCTTTATAGCATCTATAACTAGCTGAAATTATGTTGTTTATATATTTATTACTTGTTTATCATCCATCTTCCACAATAGAGTGAAAGCTGTCCAAAGACTAGGATCATTTCTGTATGTTCATCATTGATCATTGTATGTTTATTGGCTAACACACTGCCTAGCATTTAGCAGAGGATGCTATAAATGTCAGGGTTGAATGAATGGGTGAAGATCCCTGGGTGAACTGTCTGCTAGACTATAGCTTGGATTTATCCCACATTTGAGAAGTTATAAGCCATGCTGTCAAAAAAAAAAAAAAAAAGGTTTCATTAATACAACCTCTCTTGCCCACCTCAGCTCGGTTAGGAGCAAGCTCAGGTTTTCCCCAGTGCTTCCACGAACTTTGACCAATAAGGACTTACTCCATTGGACCGCACTTTAGATAAAACATCATGTTATAAGATGGTGGAAGCTAGGTAGAGCTCAACCTCCAGATTCTCTAAAGAAAAAAAAAAATATGATCAACACACCCCGGAGTTCCTCTCTCTGACCCTATATTTCTCTTTTTTTTTAAAGATTTTATTTATTTACTTTAGAGGCAGAGTTACAGTGAGAGGGAGAGACAGAGAGAAAGGTCTTCCATCTGCTGGTTCACTCCCCAAATGGCTGCAATGGCTGGAGCTGCACCGATCTGAAGCCAGGAGCCAGGAGCTTCTGGGTCTCCCACACAGGTGCAGGGGTCCGAGGGCTTGGGCCATCTTCTACTGCTTTCCCAGGCCATAGCAGAGAGCTGGATGGGAAGAGGAGCAGCCTGGACTAGAACCGGCACCCATATGGGATGCCGGTGCTGCAGGCAGAGGATTAACCTACTGCGCCACAGTGCCAGCCCCGACCCTATATTTTTGAGAGAAAATTGACTCATTGTCACTTTATCTCTGGGATAAGTAGCAAACATAGTGAAAGCCTAATATAAAATTGTTCAAGCAACAACAGGTGCCTTTATTATGTCTGAAATCTTTCTTTCTCACAATTCCACACTAGGTACAACAACTATGACCGGGCTGTCATCAATACTGTACCTTATGATGTTGTGCATCGTTGGTATACAGCACATCGCACTCTAACAAAAGAGTTGAGAAGACCTGAGAATGAGTTTTGGGTCAAACTGAAGCCTGGCAAGGTAGTATCCTAAACTCGAAAGATGTTATACTGAAGTAGTGCAGAGCTGATATTTACTTAGTGTATGTCACGACACTGCAAAGGAAGAAGAGAAGAGAGTCCTGGGTGTTGGCCCTGATCCTGCCACTCACTCACTTAATGACCTGGAAACACATCCCACACCATCTCTAGGCATCATTGCCTCTATTTGTATGATGAGGCGGTTTAACCTGATGATCATCAAGGGTGCGTCCTGCTCATGATTCCATTTTTAAAATTTTTTTAAAGATTTATTTATTTATTTGAAAGGCAGAGCCACAGAGAGGCAGAGGCAGAGAGAGAGAGAGAGAGAGAGAGAGGTCTTCCATCCACTGTTTCACTCTCCAGGTGGCTGCCATGATCGGAGCTGGGCCAATCCAAAGTCAGGAGCCAGGAGATTCCTCCAAGTCTCCCACATGGACGCAGGGACCCAAGGAATTGGGCCATCTTTCACTGCTTTCCCAGGTCACAGCAGACAGCTGGATCGGAAGTGGAGCAACCGGGAAGTGGAACAACAAAGTGGATCAGAGCTCTGTCTATCTCTGCCTTTCTCCCCTCAGACAAAGAGTAAATGAACTATTTATATGCATGTATGTAAGGTTTTTTAAAAAAATGATCCCAACCCATCTCAAATCAGCAGAGAACTACAATTAAAACTCGATTACTTTGGCCGGCGCCGCCGCTCGCTAGGCTAATCCTCCGCCTGCGGCGCCGGCACACTGGGTTCTAGTCCACTGGTGCCCATATGGGATGCCGGCACTGCAGGCAGTGGCTTTACCCTCTAGGCCACAGCACTGGCTCCCATGATTCCATTTTTAAAAGCTTTATGTTTCCTCTTCATGAAGAGAATCTTCAGCTTAGCATAACATAAGTAAATAGTTTAACACTTAGAGAAAGTATAGAATGATAATTAGAGAAAGAAAAAGAAATAAAACAATTACCCAATTTGCTTCGGTAAGGAAAACAGTCACTCAAGAAACTTAAGCTCCTTGAGTGCACAGCCTGTTACCTACTATAGCTTTTGTAACTTCCATCTGGCCTACCACAGGGTGATACGTGCTAATTGTGAACATGAATGTAACCAGAGAATAAGCTAAATCTTTTCTTTTAAATGATTCCTTCTGATTTAGGGTTCCTTTGATCTGCCCTTGTTCTGACGGTGTTTCTCTCTCTGTTTTTACCTACTCACAGGTCCTATTTATAGACAACTGGCGTGTCCTACATGGCAGAGAATCCTTCACTGGCTACCGCCAACTCTGTGGCTGCTATTTAACAAGAGATGATGTACTAAACACTGCTCGCCTCCTGGGGCTTCAGGCTTAACAGTGCCAGCATTATTATTAAGAACACACTTAGCACCCTGATTACCAGAATTTCACATAAGCAGAATAGTAATTGTGTCAGAAACCTACTTCAGATTGTCTCTTTACTTCATCCCACAAAACAGAAGCTGCCCTGTTCTCTAGGAGGGGAAACCTTTAGAGAGAGGGGCCTCTGATTTACCCACTGTCAGCCATCTAGAGTGGCAGCTTTCTTCCCTAAGATGTAACATGGCTCACTTGTTTTTTTTAAAAAAAGTTTTGATATAATACTGGTCAATTTACTTCAGAAACACACTCTTGATATGTATAGGAAATCAAGAACAATCACTAGGTAATCATTTATTCCGACTAGATCACTTGGGATGAAATGCACTCTAGAAATGACAGCATCCTGATAAACCAGCAATATGCAAATTTGTGATCTTAGGACAGCTTAACATTCCCAAAAGGTATTGAGGACCTCAAAGAGTCCTTGGGTGTGGGTTATATTTATTGACACTAATTATATTAGATATTAAGACAGAAATGTTTAAAATTCAAGAACCCAGAAGGGCAAGTCCCTCAGCTATCTGAGAGACAAACACATCATCACATGTCACATAGCCTCTGGAAAATTTCTCTGTATATGAATGACATAGTGAGAGTGAAAAAAAATAAGGTGTAATCTTAGTGTTATTATAAAAACATTTTGTAAACCACAGACCCATTATAAGAGTCTTAAGGATCCCTCCAGGGTCCATACTTTTTGAGAACTAATGAGCCATAGTATAACTTGGACAGGCTTTTACATAGGACTGTGGAATAAAGGGTTTAACCAGAAACCCCTCAACTTTTTCCTCTAGAGTTTCCTAGAGCTGCACACACTGTAGCAATTGCTACAAATACAAATATACTGTTTTATCTCTTGGAAAAAGGTATCTCCATCCAAATCTTCTCTCAAGAAATAAAACTGGGAAGTCACAACAGTTCCTGTGCAAGAATCAGTTTGGTAATTATGTGAAGGGTAATTGCAGAAACTTTTTGGAGACTTCTGAGGTTCCATATAATTCTTTACACACACACCCTCACACATATAGCCACCCCGCTTCTCCCCCCTCCCACCCCACTCCCTCCCTCACACACATCAAGAGAGAGTACAAAGGGTTAGTCTGTAAGATTGCTTGGGGAACTAAACAATATGATAGATAATATCCCTCCAGAGAACTAGAAATTATCCAAACTTTTATTTTGGCAATTTGTTGTCTTTTAGGATGTAATCTATTTTCTTTCATTTCTGCTGATCTTTCTTTTCTTAAAATAGATATGTTAATTGCTAAAATTTGACTAGATCAAATATAATACTTTACTTCCTCTGTTTTCTAAATGTATCCTTTTATGTATGGGGGGAGAGAGAGAGAGAAGGAGAGGGAAGGGAGGGAGGGAGAGAGAGAATGATTGTATGAGATTTATACCCTTACCCCCACCCCCTGCCAGCTTTCATTAAAGCTGTATAATAACCACATAGACACTGTAGGATGTTGAAAGAGAATCTATGCTAGGACACACAGAAGAGAAAAAGAAAATCATGAACACAGGAATCATAAAGCAAGAAATGAAAGTATTCTGACAGAGCATACAGCCTAGTCTGATATTTTCAGGGAGTTCCTAGGTCACATCTGATAGCTGATGTATTATTGAACTACTTAATGCTCCAAATTGTGTTCTCAAAATATTTTTTCAATTTATTTGTACTATGTAGGAATCTTCAGGAATCTTCCATGAAATTTGCTTTCCTCTTAGGCCAAAGGATTGATAATTAAGTCTGAATCTTAAAGAATTACACCCTTTAGCAATCAGTACAGAAGTAACAATATTTTAGTATGCCAAATTTTTTCTCTACTATTATGTCCTCTTAAAATATACCACCATTTGTCTTCATCAGTATATATTCCTTTTTTGAAGTTTTGCATAAGTTGAATACAATATGAGGTCAGCATTTATTTATGACAAAGGCCCTGGGTTGATAAGGACAAAAAGGTGAGTCCTTCAATTCCCAACCCTCTCACTCCTTTATGAAGAACTCCCCTTACTTTCTACCTTTCCTTACTTATTAATGAAATAATTATTTCACCCTCCTTTTCCAAAATTTTCAATCAGTCTGTGTCAAGAATGTACTCCCTGCAGAGGAATAAAAGAGGGAAGGGAATTATTTGAATGGTGATCATGTATTGTGCATCCAATAAACTTTCCATGTGAGATATTTATTTTTTATGTCTTTTGCAAGTGCCCCTGAGTATATTAGGAGTCTTCAAAAAGTTTGTGGAAATTGTGCATCATCTTTTAATTCCACTTTCCCACTAAAATTTTGTTTTTTGTTTTTTGGGTTTTTTTATAATTTTTTTTAAAGATTTATTTATGTATTTGAAAGTCAGAGTTATATAGAGAGAGGAGAGGTAGAGGTAGAGGTAGAGAGAGAGAGAGAGAGGTCTTCCATCCGATGATTCACTCCCCAGATGGCTGCAACAGCCAGAGCTGCACCGATCCGAAGCCAGGAGCCAGGAGCTTCCTCCAGGTCTCCCACACGGGTGCAGGGCCCAAGGACTTGGACCATCTTCTACTGCTTTCCCAGGCCATAGCAAAGAGCTGGATCAGAATTGGAGCAGTCAAGATTTGAACCAGCACCCATATGGGATGCCAGTGCTTCAGGCCAGGGTGTTAACCTGCTGCGCCACAGCGCCAGCTACCCCACTAACATTTTGAAGTCTCTGTGGATAAGCAGGAGTCTATGTCAACAAAGCTCACAGTAGAGTCACTTTTACATTTTTCTGTGGTATGATAGGATTGGTGGGGTCAGGAGCACAGCACCTAACACTATGCCCTACTAGTAGTATTTTCATAATACAGACTTGTTGGAAAAAAAGAAATGAATGAATCCCTTTCAAACAAACTCAGCAGAAATCACCACATTCTCTGTAAATATGCCCTTTTGTGGTTGGCAGTTAACTGATACTAAACTTTGTTCATCTTTATCTTGAGTGTCCAGACATCCCACTGTGCTTGGGACTGAGGTTTTCTTTTGACTAAGGAACTTCCCATTTTAAAATTGGCAAGGTTTTGCACAAACTAGGACTGCTGGTCAGTCAGCCTACCTTCTTGCTGCTAGCTATGCATCGTTCTGTAGTCTTCCTCACTGGCTTCCATTTCTTTCAAAGTGTTTGTGGGTCGCAGACTATGTAGTCCACGTTGAAAAGGAAAAACTATGGTGTGCTGTGGTGGCTCCTAAGGTAGGGTCCCTACACCAGCAGCACCAGCCTCTTTTGAGAACTTCTTGGAAAAACAAGTGTTCAGGTCCCACCCCACACCTACTAAATCAGAAACTCTGGGATTGGGGTTCAGTGGTTTGTTTCAGCAAGCCCTGCAGAGAATTCTGATGCACATCAAAGTTTGAGAACCTCTCAAGCAAAGAGCCCGGTTGCTGAGTTCCAGGCCCAGTTCTGGCACTGACTCACTAAGTGACTTGAAGCATGTCCCTGTCCTGTTTTGAGCTTCAGTTTGCTCTTCAATGACATTAAAGCCTTGGACTACGCAACAGCTAAAGGTTCTCTGCCTCTAGTTGTGTGACTTATGTCATTTTGTTGGCTGCTTCATTGCTTGAGATTCCTCATATGAGTACAAGAGGGAAAATACCTACCACACAGGGTTTTCTAGTAATTTTGTGATTATGAAATAAGATGCTTGCAGCACATATTGATGATCAATAATAATGGTGAACTCTTATGTACTGGACATTACTCTAAGTGTTTTTATTCCCCATTTTACAAAGGAAAAAGTTGGGCAAGGGGAGATGAAGTGCTTGCACAGGATCACAAGTCTAAATAAATGTCAGCATATGGATTAGGACCCCCTAAGATCTGGTTCCCGCTACAGTACCTTTAACTAGTATGACATAGTGCTCAACAAATATTAACTCCCTCACTCTTTCCACACACTCACAGTCCATCTGAGCACCCATCCTCAACAATCATTATGCTCACATTCACATTTTGTCCAGCAACATCTTAAAATAACTATGAGAAGATATAGGTTCATTTTGGAAATAGTTTATAAACATTAAAAAAACGCTTTTTCTAAAAAGTGGTTTTTACCTTTCTATTATTTTGCCTCTTCCAAAGGTGCAAGCTAGATGATAGAAGGAAATAAACCTATTCAGCACTTTTCTTCTTTACTGAACTCTTCCAGTTGGTTCTTGGGAGGAAAACCATTTTACTGGACATATCCAACATGCCCAGGATGCTCTTGAGCATACTAGAGATCCACACAGAGCCAGCTGGTGGCTTAGCTCAATGTATAGCTGTGAGGCCAGGTTGTGTCTTTGTCCTTACTCCCCTGAGTATGCAGCTCGTCAGAGCCAAAGACCCTGGAGTTTGACAATATTTCTTTTGTTGTTGTTGTTTTTAGTGCTATATCCAGGGGTTAGTGAGTTTGTGGGTGGCTGCACCCTAAGCCTTGGCTGTAGGCAGTGGGCCTGGCTTTTTTCCTTCACCTTGCTCAGAGTACTTGTGGACTAGCATGCCTCATCCTGGGTACCCTGGTTTGCTCTCAGATCAAAAATGGAGAAAATTGTTGCTTTTTTTCTGGCTACACCATTTTGAGTCCACCTTTTAATATTTTGTCCATAATTGCCATGTGTTTGGAGTAGTGGACTTTCTGTATTGTGAATTCACTGTTCCATCCTGAATGATAATTTAGTGGGGTTTATGCTTGCCTGATTACCTAAACTGTGTTTGCAAAATTCAACTGCATACTCTCTTGATGAGTTGGGCTTGTTGTGACTGTCTGTTTTTGTGCTACAGAGCAACATAAAAACATTCGCTTGATTAATGGAATATCAGGTTCTGAAAGAAAAGAAATCAGCCATCTCTTGCAGTTGTGACAAACTGTCATAAGCCGTGTTGGTGTGTACCACATAGATTAATAGTGGTGTTCTATCTTACTTTCTATGTGGGTAGACAAGCATGATAATTTATCCCACGCACAACTGAAGATCACAAAGGTCAATATTATGCAAACCTATGAAGTATGGAAGGTTTTTCTCTGTTAGCCCCATCTTCTCCATTCTCTACCCATTGATGGTGGCCACCCCTCCAATTCTGACACTCAGTATCCTCTCACCTTCTGCCTTCTAGCTCTCTCTCTGATGTCACAGGAAGAACTTGAACTTGGACTGACCTGTGCTTTCATTCCACCTCTACCTCTTAGTAGCCTGGTGCATTTTGGGAAGCTTTTTCCTTCCTTAAGCTTCCATTTCTTCATATGTAAAGTGGGGCTGATAAGTGCCATCTACCTGAAAAAAATCTGTGGTGAAGAATGAAATGAGATCATGTGTATAAAGTATCTACCACCCTGAGCAGCACATAATAGACTCAATCCACAGTTATCAATATTGTTATTTGAGAGAAGAGTAGGGATCAGGGTTAGCCTGTGTGTTTAACAGAAACCAACAGTTACTTAGAAGCAACAAAGTTATGAGGGTCAGAACTGGAAAAGTACGTTAAAATGCTAAAGGTCGGAGAGTGAAGTACAAAGCATCTGAACTTCTGTGTCTGAGGATTTGTGTATAGGAAGTGGGCTTTGAGTTTCAGGGCACTGGGTTTGAGAGCTGGAAGAGCAGATGGTCAGAGGACAGGTCAGAGAGCCTGATGAGATAAGCTGAGTCTGGAGAGTTTTGGAGAAGGTGGCTTAGTAACAAAGATGCATAGGGCAATTCAGGTAGGCAGGCAGATACCCATGTCCATGGTGACTTATAATCAGGGTAGAACACATACTTCCACATCTAACTTCACCACCTCCCCAAAACTCCTGCTGAAACTACTATAAAATTGTTTTTGAAAGGAACGGAAGGATAGGGTTGGATAAAAAGGATTGGAAGTACAGGAAAGGAAGCAGGAACTAAATTTTGGATGCTGAAAAGCAGACAGAAGTATAACAAGAAGTCCACAAACTAGGAATCCTGAGACCTTAGTGGGAAAAGCAAAAACAACCTGATTTAGCACCACCCCAAAAAAACATTCAAAGACTGGAACAGGTAACTCTGGAAGTGGAAGTAACGGGATGAGGGTGGACACCAATATAATAAGACTTCAAAAACCACTTAGAAAATAGATTCATCTCCAGATCCCCTCTTGCTGTCAATGTCAGGAGTGGGACAGAGGAGGGTGGGGCAGCTGCGTCTTCTCTGCCCTGACATAAATCTAGAGTGTTATTCCATGGAGATAATAAAGCAGAAGGCCTTTACATTGAGAATTCCCAAACCCAGTTGAGGGCCAGGGCCCCATATTGAAAACAGAGGTGTTAAGTGGAGGTATGTTTGTGTCCTGCAAGCTGTGAACCTCCAGCCTTCTTACTTGACTCTGCTCCTAGAATTCTGGCAACTGGAAGAGTTTTCTGTACCAACCCAAGAGAAAAAGATCTAAGGATACTGACACTGAAGTTTCCCCAATAAAGGGCCTAGCTGTATTACTCTCATTACAATGAGGTTCATGGTTTGATACTGTGAGGGAGAGGATGAGGACATCCATCCAGTCAAGAGTAATTATTTTTGTGAGTGGAGAGACCTGAGCACATTAGTTCCTACAAAGGAAGGATACAGACACAGTAGAGGGAGAAATTAACGATTCTGGAGAGGAGAGGCAATTGATGGAGTAAGGCACCTGGGGAGGCAGGATGGGATGGAATCCACAGCATGAGTGGAATGATAGCCTGAGTCATGATGAAGAACCTTTATCTCCCACTAGGATAAGATGAAAATAAATGAGATTTGGTTAAAGACTCAATTCAGTCCTTTCTTATTTTTCAACTACCATATCCAAGGCACCATGCTGTTTAGTGTCCATGCATCCATTCACTCATTCATACACCATCTGGGGGGTCAACTGTTGTGTTCCAGGTCCCGTGCTGGGTTCCAGAAATATTCAGACAAATCACACAAGGTTCAAGTCCTCAAGGAGCTCACAGTCATAGAATAAAAGCAGACCCACTACATAGGGTGATAAGTGCTGTCTGAAAACTGAGCATTGGGGCTGTTGGAACACAGAGGAATGGCACACTGTGCAGTATAGGGAATTAAGCAGGTATAGGAAAGCCTACAGAACAGGACAAAGACTGCTCTGTGGGTTCTTGGGCACAGAGATCTCATCTCACAGGTTCTGTCTGCAAACGTTTCACGAAGTTAAATAGTCTTTGAGTTAAAACTAAGAGAAT